TTCACCTGCGAAACAGATTCGTAACGGCGACGGCGACGGCAGCAACAGCGTTAGCCAACGTACAGTACTACGACGACTTCGTGCTGCTTGAATCCGAGCGTATCGTCCTTTCCGAGGAATGGTACTGACTGCTCAACATCGACGCCTGAGACTGCTATGGGCGAGTCAGGTTCGACGCTGGCAAGTGAGAAATTGGCGTCGAGTGCTGTTTACTGAGTGCTGAGTTTATCGACGCAGAGGGGAACGTTTGGCTCCGGCGTGTATTCGATAGGTCCATCCATTCGGCGGGGGAGGTGTCATGGTGTGTGTGTGTGTGTGTGGGGGGGGGGGGGGGGGGGGGCTATTTGTGGAGATCAGAAGACTTATTTGGTGATTATACAGGGAAACCTGAACGCTGTGCAGTACAGAGACCAAGTGTTGCAGCCAGTTGTGCTTCCGTTCTTACAAAATCAACAGCAGGGGACATTGTTTCAACACGACAATGCCAGGCCCCATACTGCAAGACTGACTCGGAACTTTCTAAACCAGCAGAACGTTGACGTTTTGCCCTGGCCTGCCCACTCACCCGATATGAATCCTATTGAACATCTGTGTGACCATCTTGACAGACAAATTAGAGCACGCCATCAGCCTCCCGTCAACAGACATGAATTGTAGCAGTCCCTGAGAGACGAGTGGCAACGGATTCCAGTCCACGTCATCAGAAGACTGACGTCATCGATGAGGCGGCGTATCACAGCATGCATTGAAGCAGCTGGAGGCCATACACGCTATTGAAGGCAACTGTGTCGACAATGAACTTGTTGTGTGTCTGACAATTGTTTGGTGACATTTCAGACAACTTTTGAAAATGAAATTTCTTACCCCACCATTGTTTACCTTGAGCTTACATTACCTGTGATTGCACAATTTCATTCAGAATGTGGTTGATCAATCATTTGTTACCCCTTCCTAGATTATATTATAATTCACAACAAAACCTCTTCTTTTTATTTTTTTATCGATCATGCAACTCGACCTATACTTTCTTTTGCCGCCCAGTTTAGTTTACTATGCGCTGAGAGATCGGGATTAATAAGGCTTTTTCCGAGCTAGCGCTTGGAGTCTGGGGCTTATGTTATTTATAAGTCTTCTTTGGATTTATGGGTTATCTTGGTTAGAGGCCCAACAGACGTATTGTAAGTTGTTCTCGGCGTTGATCCAGATGGATTTCGCCTGCTAAAGCCTGTAGTGTTGTATGCGGTGTGCCATGTTGTGTGCGTGTGATTAACCTCAGTGCTTTGTATTGGATGAGGAGTTTAGAGGGTTGCAGATTTGACATCCATAGTCTATTTTGGATCTAATTAGTGATTTGTATGATGATATTAGGGTATCTTTGGAGGCTCCCTAGTTGGTGCCAATCAAGCCGCGTAGTGTGTTTAGGTTTGCATCTTTTTATTAGGTTTTTAATGTAAGCATCCCAGGTGAGATGTTCATCAAAGATTAATCCCAGACATTTAGCTTGTTTTGGGGAGTCTATGGGGTCATATTTTAGTTCTAGTCTGGGGGTTGTTGTGCGCTTATTTCTGTGTTTGAAGACTATCCCTGTAAATTTTTCGGCATTTAGGGAGTAGCCCCATTTATTTGCCCATGTTTGAATTTTTCTTAATGCCTTCTGAAATAAATTTTTGGCCATGTTTATGCTTCGGGTGCGGATACAGGGGGCTCCGTCATCAGCGTATTTAGAAGTTTGAATTCTATTAGATATTCCCTCGAATAGGTCATTAATAATTAGGTTGAATAGTGTAGGGCTTAGAATGCTGCCTTGGGGTGCACCATTCTCTAGAGGTCATTGCTCTAGGGGTCATTGGTCCGATAGCAAGTTTATTCATACTGTTATTTTGCGAATTGTTAAGAGGTCTTGTATATACTTTATTATTGGTCCTTCCAGTCCTGCTTTTTGTAGTTTTTGAATTAGCCCGTTATGTCACACCCTATCGAAAGCTTTAGACAAATCTAGGAATATACCTACTGTGTATTGTCGGTCTGATTGGCCTGTTTTAGTGCCCTGTTCGAAGCGAGCTAGGTTGTCTAAGGTTTAGCGACCCGGGTTGAAACCGCCTTTGTTTGGGTTTATTATATTATTTTCGTCTAGAAAGTGTTGGAGTCTATTTTTGACCATTGCCTCCATTTGTTTGCATAAATTTGAGTTTAAGGAGATTGGTCTGTGAGAGTTGGCCTCGTTTGCTGGTCCTACTAACGACTGAAAAATAACTTGTTAGGTTGTTTGCATTTTGTTTAGGGTTTGTTGAATTATTTATGTTTGGTGTTTTGTGGGTACGTTTTATCCTTCGGACTGCGTGTATTTTGCGCGATAAGTACTTGCGTCCGTTTGATGGTTAATTTCCTCGCAGAATATTTTCGAATTTTTGGCCTTTGTCGTTTGGACTTGACTTTGTACTTTGAGATTTTGAATTACATATTACAAACACTTGGGCACGATTTCCCTGAATCATATTACAAACACTGGGGCACGATTACCCAGAATCATATTACAAACACTGGGGCATGATTACCCAGAGTCACTGGTACAAACACTGGGGCACGATTACCCAGAATCATATTACAAACACTGGGGCACGATTACCCAGAATCAGATTACAAACACTGGGGCATGATTACCCAGAATCAGATTACAAACACTGGGGCACGATTACCCAGAATCAGATTACAAACACTGGGGCATGATTACCCAGAATCAGATTACAAACACTGGAGCACGATTACCCTGAATCATATTACAAACACTGGGGCATGATTACCCAGATCACTAGTACAAACACTGAGGCATGATTACCAAGAATCATATAACAAACACTTTGGCACGATTACCCTGAATCATATTACAAACACTGGGGCACGATTACCCAGAATCAGATTACAAACACTGGGGCACGATTACCCAGAATCAGATTACAAACACTGGGGCACGATTTCCCAGAATCATATTACAAACACTGGGGCACAATTACCCAGAATCATATTACAAACACTTTGGCACGATTACCCTGAATCATATTACAAACACTGGGGCACGATTACCCTGAATCATATTACAAACACTGGGGCATGATTACCCAGATCACTAGTACAAACACTGAGGCATGATTACCCAGAATCATATTACAAACACTTTGGCATGATTACCCTGAATCATATTACAAACACTGGGGCACGATTACCCAGAATCAGATTACAAACACTGGGGCACGATTACCCAGAATCAGATTACAAACACTGGGGCACGATTACCCAGAATCATATTACAAACACTGGGGCATGATTACCCAGAATCAGATTACAAACACTGGGGCATGATTACCCAGAATCAGATTACAAACACTGGGGCATGATTACCCAGAATCAGATTACAAACACTGGGGCACGATTACCCAGAATCAGATTACAAACACTGGGGCATGATTACCCAGAATCAGATTACAAACACTGGGGCACGATTACCCAGAATCAGATTACAAACACTGGGGCACGATTACCCAGAATCAGATTACAAACACTGGGGCACGATTTCCCTGAATCAGATTACAAACACTGGGGCATGATACCCTGAATCATATTACAAACATTGGGGCACGATTTCACTGAATCAGATTACAAACATTGGGGCACGATTGCCCAGAATCAGATTACAAACACTGGGGCATGATTACCCAGAATCAGATTACAAACACTGGGGCACGATTACCCAGAATCAGATTACAAACACTGGGGCATGATTACCCAGAATCAGATTACAAACACTGGGGCACGATTACCCAGAATCAGATTACAAACACTGGGGCACGATTACCCAGAATCAGATTACAAACACTGGGGCACGATTTCCCTGAATCAGATTACAAACACTGGGGCATGATACCCTGAATCATATTACAAACATTGGGGCACGATTTCCCTGAATCAGATTACAAACATTGGGGCACGATTGCCCAGAGTCACTGGTACAAACACAGGAACATCTTTCCGCAAGTATTCATACTTATTATCCTTCCTATATATATTCGTTGCCCTTACTGAATCAATACAAACACATACTGTAATAGGTTCACGTTGGACAGTCATGAACTCTCAACCGCCAGGCCTCAAGCTAAATACGGGAGCCCCAGTCCCTCAGTCAGTTATAACACTGACCTCAATACGTTCAAATGTCAGACGCCTCAGTTCCTGTATATCACAATGTGCTCAACCACAACAGCACAGCGAGTCCCTACAAACTCATCGGTGTCTTCTTTGTAGGGAGGATGGGGTAGGTGGAGGGGATAGCCTAGTAGTTAAAGCGTTCGCGCGTCACGCATAAGGCCCGAGTTCTATTCCCAACATGGTTACAAAGTTTGAAGCCCATTTCTTGTGTATCCCGCCGTGGTATTACTGGGAAAATGCTACAAGCGGCGTAAAATCAAACTCACACACTCATATTATTGGTGGCTGTGGATGGCGAGGGTCTTTTATAGGAAATGACTGGTGAATACTTTCGTATTGCAGATGAGGGTACATCGAGGTGGCCCAGTGGTTATTTGAATAGCTGTTCCATTCTTAACATGGGTATACTCGGTTAGCCCATTACAGGTATCCAGGGTAGGTAGGGGAGGTACGTAATGAAGTATATCATAAATTCCTGATCAATTATCTTGTGCGGAAATGTGGAAACGTCCTTTCCAACAAACGACCTGAATCAATTGCAATGCCAGTTCCACGTAGTATTCTTAACAGAACGTACGACCGCCCCTACTTTTATTATTTAAGCATCCAGAAATACCCACATGCATTGTCACAGTACATATGTCCATTCACACGGAAACCTCATCACGACAAAAGTAGTAGCTGTACCCATAGTAGATAGCATGTGCTCGTATCTGCGAGGATTGGAACTGCACCAACTGTTCTAGCCCAGTTTTACAAATCTGTAACGTATGTCTATTTGTGTCAGCATCTCAACCTACCGTATATTGGCACTTCGTCGAGGTGAATTCCAAGATGTTCACACACTACCAACCCCCATGGACTCTCCTTTCGCTTTGTGACAGAATCAGTCCAGGGATTTCTTCTCAAGACTGGTCCTACACAGAGGTACATCTGACATAGGGCTATCCTAGTATCCCAGTCATGAGAACGAGTCCAAGTCATTCACTGGCAGAGTTTCCATGAGTGTGTGTCTAAAAACCGGACCGCTGCACCCAATCAACGATATGCACTAACTGCGTGGAGCTAAACATAGTCTTCTCATACCAACGACGACAGGCGAGTCATATCTCCATTTCATCCGATAACTATGTGAGCTAATGTCTGGAACCTACAAAACGCTCCGGAGTCGGCACCTGTGAGTGACACGTTGCTAGGGAGAGTCCATTATCTTATGTAATGTAGGTTGTGTTACTCCCGTGACCCCGTGCACTGCACGTGCGTGTCACTCTCAGAGTTTTCATGGCCTTTCCTCGTGTGTTAATACATCTGCTCATAACGAAGTACCTATTACACTGTGGAGGTGATCACAGTTGATTCTGATAGACTGATACCCTGTTTAGTATTTAAGGGGCACGTAGTGTTATTGTATCGACTGGCAATGCAGAATAAATTACATTATCTGCGTTGTGACCCCAATACTATGAATAATTGGCACGTTCCAAATTTTTCTCTGCGCATGAATAATGGTACCTCTGTCACAAGGAATGTATATGAAAGTGTAGTCTTAATCTGCGGTGATGGCCACTTTCAGGTACATGTAGGTGAGACGGTAACACGGCCACAACTATCAATTGTGAAAACTGGAGCACGTTTGTAGGGCAAGGTCAATAGCACCATGTGTGTCCTAGATAGAGGTTACTCCCCCCATGGAACCCCAGGGAATGTGCACGTGTACACGCGTAACAGCTAGAGTGGCTGCTAAGTGCGCGTTATAGAAGGGACAGGTGCTGTGCCAGCTGTAGAGACACCTAGAGCACCTGATGATTGTGTCGCAATGGAAGCAATATGTGACACGGTTTGTAAATATTGAACCAATTGTACTTTTATATTCATATAACGCGGGGCACAACTGGTTACATTTGTTGGTTGGTTGTTTGTTGTTAAACGCCGCTCTCAGCAAAATTCCAGCTACACACACACACATACATACACACACACACACACACATTTTATACAAAGTTTTCAGGTATAATAAACATTCCCAGATATAACAAGGTTTTTTTAGACATATTCCGCGAAACTGCTTCATTCATGGTGGTGAGAAGAATTATTCTTTCAAATATCAATTAACAATGTTGATGAGTTTATTTAATAGAAAAGGTTTGTAAAAGAATTATGCACATGTTTGTCGTACCGTGGATGGAACAATTACTTAACTTTGACTTTGTCCTTATACGTAATTTATCTGTATATACCCAAAAGGTCCCGTTATTCCCCTGTGTGCGTAATATATCTGAATATTCCCAAAATGCCCCGTTATTCCCCTGTGTGCGTAATATATCTGAATATTCCCCAAATGCCCAGTTATTCCCCTGTGTGCGTAATATATCTGAATATTCCCCAAATGCCCAGTTATTACCCTGTGTGCGTAATATATCTGAGTATTTCCCAAATGCCCCGTTATTCCCCTGTGTGCGTAATATATCTGAGTATTTCCCAAATGCCCCGTTATTCCCCTGTGTGCGTAATATATCTGAATATTCCCCAAAGGCCCTGTTATTTCCCCGTGTGTGTAATATATCTGAATATTCCCCAAATGCCCCGTTATTCTCCCGTGTGTGTAATATATCTGAATATTCCCCAAATGCCCTGTTATTCCCCTGTGTGCGTAATATATCTGAATATTCCCCCAAGGCCCTGTTATTTCCCCGTGTGTGTAATATATCTGAATATTCCCCAAATGCCCCGTTATTCCCCCGTGTGTGTAATATATCTGAATATTCCCCAAATGCCCTGTTATTCCCCTGTGTGCGTAATATATCTGTATATTCCCCAAATGCCCTGTTATTTCCCCGTGTGTGCGTAATATATCTGAATATTCCCCAAATGCCCCGTTATTCCCCTGTGTGCGTAATATATCTGAATATTCCCCAAATGCCCCGTTATTCCCCTGTGTGCGTAATATATCTGAATATTCCCCAAATGCCCCGTTATTCCCCCGTGTGTGTAATATATCTGAATATTCCCCAAATGCCCTGTTATTCCCCTGTGTGCGTAATATATCTGAATATTCCCCAAATGCCCTGTTATTCCCCTGTGTGCGTAATATATCTGAATATTCCCCAAATACCCCGTTTTTTCCCCGTGTGTGTAATATATCTGTATATTCCCCCAATGCCCCGTTATTCCCCCGTGTGTGTAATATATCTGTATATTCCCCAAAGGCCCTGTTATTTCCCCTGTGTGTGTAATATATCTGAATATTCCCCAAATGCCCCGTTATTCCCCCGTGTGCGTAATATATCTGAATATTCCCCAAAGGCCCTGTTATTTCCCCGTGTGTGTAATATATCTGAATATTCCCCAAATGCCCTGTTATTCCCCTGTGTGCGTAATATATCTGAATATTCCCCAAATGCCCCGTTATTCCCCTGTGTGCGTAATATATCTGAATATTCCCCAAATGCCCTGTTATTCCCCTGTGTGCGTAATATATCTGAATATTCCCCAAATGCCCCGTTATTCCCCTGTGTGCGTAATATATCTGTATATACCCCAAACGCCCTGTTATTTCCCCGTGTGTGTAATATATGTGTTGTCACAACAGGGGCCACTGAATGTGTACACGGACAAGAACAATGTCCCAAGTAAAATTAATCCCAAACCTTCGCGAGGGACAGATTATCCGTCATTCCTCTGTCACGAGTAACTTATTGTTTTTTACTAGCCATCGTCAAGTTTTAAAATAAGAAGCTGAAAAGACAAAACGCAGTTTAATCTTATAATAGAGGCGAAGTCGCATTTCATAATATTTATACGCGTGTGACATGGCATCGTATTCGTTGAATTTTAACTGATCACATACAGTCCACACTCAACACTAAGATTCCGCGAATGCGAAATAGTTCGTTTGGATGACATTAATCATTCGAAACGACATATTGTGAATGATGTATGATATTACAACAAAGAATTAAAAATGACAGCATTATTTATGACATAAAACTCAAACACATGCAGTACAAAAAAATAAAAAATTGTTTGTCAGTTGATTTCTGTGGACATTGTTCCGTCAGTTGCCTCAAGGTAACTATCTCCCAAGACAACAAACAGAGAACCGAAATTCTTGTCAGGCTCGGCATTGTTATTTACATGCAAGGATAGCAGATGATTTATTCAATCTAATTTACTTTATATACAAATCTAATTAAAAAAATTATGTTTTGTGTATTCCATTATCGTAAACCACATTGTGAATAGTATTATTAATTGGATTAATATGAATAAATTTTATAGTACGTTTTATGCTGTAAATGATACATATTGGCTATGGGTGAGTGAGTGAGTTTGGTTTAACGCCGCTTTTAACATTATTCCACTTATATCACGGCGTGTCAGTTTAATGTAGGAGGTAAGCCCGAAGTGATGCAGGCCTATGACTTTTACCACTTCGGTGAAACCCACGAGCACGGGTATGGTGCTAACAAACCTAGAAACAATCGGGGCGAACTGGGATTCGAACCAACAATCATGGGTTTCCGGCGTGCCCAAGGGACACAACACGGCATAGCGAATCGCTATTGGCTACCCATGTTCCTTGTACACACGGGGATACAACAGGGACCTACTTGGTGTATTCAGAAATACCAGGAACATTGGGGAACAGGTGTATACTTAGTGTATACAGAAATACCAGGTACATTGGGGAACAGGTGCCTACTTGGTGGATACATAAATACCAGGTACATTGGAGAACAGGTGCCTACTTGGTGTATACAAAAATACCAGGTACATTGGGGAACAGGTGCCTACTTGGTGTATACAGAAATACCAGGTACATTGGGGAACAGGTGCCTACTTGGTGTATACAGAAATATCAGGTACATTGGGGAACAGGTGCCTACTTGGTGTATACAAAAATACCAGGTACATTGGGGTACAACAGGGACCTACTTGGTATATACAGAAAGACAAGGTACATTGGGGTACAACAGGGACCTACTTGGTATATACAGAAATACCAGGTACATTGGGGAACAACAGGGTCCTACTTGGTATATACAGAAATACAAGGTACATTGGGGTACAACAGGGACCTACTTGGTATATACAGAAATACCAGGTACATTTGGAAACAACAGGGACCTACTTGGTATATACAGCAATACCAGGTACATGTACATTGGGGAACAACAGAGCCCTAATTCGTGTATAGAGAAATACCAGGTACATTGGGGAACAACAGGGACCTACTTGGTATATACAGAAATACCAGGAACACTGGGAACCAACAGGGGCCTACGTCGTGTAAAGAGAAATACCAGGTACATTGGAAATACAACAGGGACCTACTTGGTATATACAGGAATACCGTGTACATTGGGGAACAACAGGGCCCTACTTCGTGTATAGAGAAATAACAGGTACATTGGGGAACAACAGGGACCTACTTCGTATATACAGAAATACCACGTACATTGGGCAACAGCATGGACCTACTTGGTGTATACAGAAATACCAGATACATTGGGGAACAACAGGGTCCTACTTTGTGTATACAGAAATACCAGGTACATTGGGGAACAACAGGGGCCTACTTGTTGTATACAGAAATACCAGGTACATTGGGGAATAACAGGGGCCTACTTCGTGTATACAGAAATACAAGGTACATTGGGCAACAACAGGGGCCTACTTGTTGTATACAGAAATACAAGGTACATTGGGCAACAACAGGGTCCTACTTTGTGTATATAGAAATACAAGGTACATTGGGGAACAACAGGGGCCTACTTGTTGTATACAGAAATACAAGGTACATTGGGCAACAACAGGGGCCTACTTGTTGTATACAGAAATACAAGGTACATTGGGCAACAACAGGGTCCTACTTTGTGTATATAGAAATACAAGGTACATTGGGGAACAACAGGGGCCTACTTGTTGTATACAGAAATACAAGGTACATTGGGCAACAACAGGGGCCTACTTGTTGTATACAGAAATACAAGGTACATTGGGCAACAACAGGGGCCTACTTGTTGTATACAGAAATACAAGGTACACTGGGGAACAACAGGGGCCTACTTGTTGTATACAGAAATACCAGGTACATTGGGGAACAACAGGGGCCTACTTGTTGTATACAGAAATACAAGGTACATTGGGCAACAGCATGGACCTACTTG